CCCCAAAACCCCAAAACCCCAAAACCCCAGGATATAGAATTCAGATTTATAATAATTATGAAATGGATCCAATTTTAAAAGAATAAATACTTTTTTAAATACTCAACCTGATAGTTATAATATGGGACTGAGTGATCATTATATATCAAACATAGTCATTTTCTATTTTACTTTCCGCAGATGATGCAGTAGTATCACTGTGCATCTTCTGCACTCTCTTTACTTTTATCAATTTATAGTCATTCAAGGAGATGTTTTTATACTAGGGGTAGCTCCTGAGCAGATTTTAGAATCCAGATTGGTTATCGGCTGAGGTTAAATTTTAAATCAGACTCATCAGATTTTCAACCATCTCCACATGTAATATAGTTGTTGTTAAAAATTCATTTATAGTCATCTGTATCCCTCTGATCTATTTTTAGACCAACAGTCTTTTCATCTCTCCCTTAGAAGAGCTAGGGGAACTCTCTTTTCTATCTCTGCCTCTTTTTTCTAGAAACTGTAGATGGAATCTTGGAATCAGCATGAGCACAATCGTTGCTTAGTCATTTAAATCCAAAGTTGAAAAAATGTAGTCGTGGCATAAGGCTTTACAAATAAAGGATACTGATTTCTAGAGCTCCTTTTGATCTGAGTCTTACATTTTGAGTCTTGGGTCATCCTCAAATATAAGAAGCAGTTACGCAGATACTTTGTCAATCAGTGTTTATTAAAGAAATTTAAAACCAAGAGCCCGACACATTACTTTTTCAGCTTTTAATATGTCTTTGCTTTCAAATTTTCCATGTGAAGCTTCATCAACAATCTAATCCATGGTAATTGGGAAAGCGTCTTCTAACTTAGATGCAATAAATATAGATGTTAAACCGAAGATATGAAGGTCCTCTTTATCTAAAAATGACCCTTCTATACTTTTAGCTTAAAAAAATCTATCAAGTATGGAAGTCGCCAAGAAAAACGTCTCATCAGTGGAAGAGTCGAGGACTCTAAGTACCTAAATCATCCAGTCTATCATTTTAGCACGGTGATGAGGCAAAACACTATGGCCTTCAAGGAAATTGCGTTCTTATCTTGCAATGTTATGTGCATCATTATCTAATCTATTTTTAGAATTATTGTAAGAGTCTTGGTCAAGCTTGCTTTCAAACTAATCTAAGAATAGTTCGTTCATCGATTTTCTAATGGATTTGCAATCTGAGTGATGCTATTCTAATGATGAGAAATAAGTTGATCTACTCATTGAGGCTCCATTAGAATCAGTAATAACAGGAGGGAGATTTGGGATTTTGTGAGCGTTATGATTTGTAGATTTTAGAGAGCTGGTTAATTCTTGGTTAGGTTTTCGAACTAAAAGCAGTCTCCCTTATTCTTGCTTGCGTCCATTACTTCCTTCACTTATGTTAACGAGACTTGGTAAAACTTATTTTTAATGAGTTCCTCCGAGTTTAGACTGTGTTTTGTAACTTGATTATTCTAAAATATTTTTTGCAGATTTATTCTAACTTAAGTTTCTCAAAGCTTTATAAGTTTATTGAAGATTTGTAGAAGTATTTGTCCCGATTCTCAATATATTTTACTGATTGGAGTTAATATTACAGGCCTATTATTAGTATAAACCTTAGTTGCTCTTTCTAAGTTTGAAAAATACATTATTGTTATTAGACTCTTTAGGGTTTAAATCCGAAATAGTTATTGCTGCTCTCTAGGAAGCAATTAAGGATGAGTATCTTATTTTATTTGAGCACATTGAAGAATTAAATGATTAGTTTATCAAAAATTAATTGTAATTTATTTTATTATATATTTATATAATTTCAAACAATTTATAGTCTTGCTTAAGTAGGAAGCCTCTTATAAATCATTCTTCATAAGCTAAATTTAAGGTTCAAATCATGTTTCAATAATTCCAAATTTCTGAAAGATCCACTGTATGGGGTTTTGGGGTTTTGGGGTTTTGGGG